CGCTTGCGACTTGGTGGCATGTTATTTTCTTTGGTACAGAAGTGGCACGGATGCTGTGTGAATCTTCCTTCTCACTGCCCTGTTCTGAAGCATCTGAGCGCGTCACGGGATGTTTCCCAGTGAAATTTGTGGCCTGGTGTACACACTGCAGCTGCCGCACAGGGATTGTGTTAATAGTTCTGTGGGCAGTTACAGTGAAGTTTTCATGTTCAGCAGCTCACTGCGCAGAGTGGATGAATTTCCAAGGCCACAGCTGATGGGTAAAAGGGAGATGGCCTAAGGAGTTGAGTAACAATTTTGCTGGGAACTGCAGGAAGTGTCAAAACACTTTCCCAACAGAAAGGATGGATAAAAAGTCATTTGGGGGTGACTTTTCTTGGGCTTGCAAGGGACTCAGCTGTCAGCATGCTTTTAATGAGTTGCATGCAGGTGGCTTGCAAAGAACAAAATGGGACGAAATGTGCCCCTTCAAATGGTCCAGTTTCCCAGTGATGTCTGCCCAGGTAGATTCCCGGTGGAAGAAAGGCTTAGGTAAATTACATTAACAGTGTTGTCGTCCCCCATTTCAGAACAGTAAGTCTGGCTTTTAGTTCTTCTGGTTACTTTGTGCTTGATACAAGCAGTATTTTGCTGTTTAAGAAAGTAAGATCATCTTCAAATGTAAAGTGAAAAGATCTAAGACTAATTCTCTTTTCTTTCCTGTTTTTTAATTAGTCAGAAGATATTGAGAGTTTGATTCCTAGAGGGCTTTCAGAATCAACCAAGCAGCAAATCCGTTACCTCTTGCAGGTAGGGCTGTGGGTGGGTAGACACAAAAATATAACGTGAATATGTGCGTGGCTTTACGTTGTGAGAAGGCTTTCTCATTTTAATCTGAAGTCATGCAAATAAGAACGTAAGAAGAACCCTGCTGGATCAGACCAGTGGTCAGTCTAGTCCAGCATCCTGTCTCACATAGTGGCCAACCAGTTCCTCTGGAGGGCCGACAACAAGGCATAGAGGTCGAAGCCTTCCCCTGATAAGAACATCTGAAGAGCCCTGTTGGATCAGACCAGGG